AGATGGAGGTTCTTGAAACCGCGCTTGTTGAGATGCGGGTCTCTGTTTCCTCTCTTGAGGGACGGGAACGAGAACTTGTGGCAGAGGTTGGACGATTACAAGAAGAGATGACATCTATGATGGAAGCAGACAATGTCAAGAAAAAATTGACGGCGAAACGCGAGGTTTTCACCCCCTCCTTGGCCGATGTCGCTTGCACAGAAGAGCCCTGGGAGCCCCTGCAATGCGTATGCCAGGCGTACAGTGAAGTGGTAAATGCACAGATCGCACTTCTGCGTGCAGCTTCCGCCATTGTCGTTGTACCCAAAATTTCAGGCGAGGAGTTTGAGAATGTTTGCAAGGCACTGGATGCTATTGTGGCGAAAGATGATCGCGTTACCAATGGCATCAACGAAAAGGATGGAAGAGGCATCCCCTCAAGCTTTAAGTTTGTTGAAGAAGAGGGTTCTGAAAAACAGCTGGGGAGGAAATCTTCACCGTTAAAGACGGCACCACTACAATCTTCAGAGACATCGACATTTTACATAAAGCACTCGCCTGCTCTTTTCTCTGCCCCAATGGCGACTTCTGGAAACGGAAAAAAAAATGCCCAAACCGGCAACCATTACTTATTCTCTGAATTCCCGTCGACCCAAACAGCCGATCCTCAAAGTGAAACCAGTGGATTTTGCTTGGACAAAAATCACGCCGCGTTTTATTTCACATTGGGAAGTGAAAATGAAAAAGATAAACGTTCCCCACATCCCGCTGACGCGGCAGGATCATCTCCGCAGGAGACATACCCCGCCTTCTTTGCAGAGAAGCATTCGCACAAAGCCTCCAATGCAGCACCTACCAGAAGCATTGCGTCACCTTTGGGTTCAGAGTCACCCGGACGATTTGCACCGGATCCTTTGGATTATTTCGTAAAATCCCGTGAGATGGGTAAAGATACGGAACGCGACGGCAGTGTTCACGGGAACGCAACCAACGTGAAAAACTTTTTGGACCTCTTTGGCGCGGCACCTCCCGAAGAATCACATTCAAAGCAGGGGAAAGATAACAACACCTTTGTTGCAGAGTTTGATCCCTTTGCTTGAGGCCTTGTTGTTGTTGTTTTGTGCGTGCGTGTCTTCATCCCTTTTTTTTTTCTTGGCTTCTTTCAATCGACTAAAAAAGGGATTTTGCCAGCACCGAGCGGGGCGATTTTTCGTGCACTACATGGCCATCAACCACCGGAATAATGATGTTTTCGGTTTGCTGCTTCACCTCTCTTGGCATTTACCCGAAGATGAAAGCATTTCAGTGCATTCACGAATGTCCTATAGAAGGGCATCTGTTTCCGAAAAAGGCAACGTTGGTTCCTTTGAATCGCCTAAAAAAATGCCCTTTGTGTTATCTTTATTATTATTATTATTATTATTATTATTATTATTATTATTATTATTATTATTATTATTATTATTATTATTATATTGTTTTGCTGACAACGCTTCGCCTTTCTTATATATATATATAAATATAGGTTTATGAAAGAAATGAGGAAGGAGCACACTGAAATTCACATACCGTGATTGCTCGAGGATTTATTTTTTCTTTGCCTTTTTTCGCTCGTCCTTACCACCGGCGTTCAAGAGCAAAAGGGCACATTTTGTGTATCTTGAGAAAACGTCCGGGCCGACGGCGCATGGGGCCCCTGTTTGCGTGGGCGTCCTCTCGCATTTTCTAGGTGCGAGGCCGCTTATTTATTGCGGCTGCCATCGGGGAGCTGCTCGTCCTAGAAATTAATTCCTGATTTCGCCGTCCCACAGATCCCCGATACTTTCAATCGTCACCGCGTCCTTCGTCCAGGTTGGCTCCTCAAACTGCGTTTGCCCTACTTAAAGCGATTCAAAATCCTTTAGTCGCATTCAAAAAAGGCAGTTGTGCAGCTCAAGTGGCTTTACCATGCGGCTCGTTATGGCCGGAAACGCGCCGCGATTTCCACCCAGCAGGGTCATGGCAAGAAATATTTTCTTTCTGAGTACGCTCCCGAGCCGCTGACCGGACCTCGCGGTTGTCAGCAGGAGCCACACAAGACGTGAATAAAAAGGAGCGAAAGGAATGGGGACGGAGTTCGCCAGATCCTCAATGAGCGTTTACACCAAGTGAGTGCATATTTATCTGTGCGCATTGTGGTGGCCACTTTCGCGGCGTGATCCCTTCATCCGGGTTGGGCGGGTACATATATATATATATATCTGCGTGTGTGCCTTCATAACTCACGAGGTGCCGGATTTCGGGCTCTTCCAGTCACAACGCCCCGACGGAATGGCGCTGCGCCTCACAGCGGGTCGTGGCGGGTGGCGTCCCACACTCACAATTGAGGCACGGCGCACAACATCCGCTCCCTCCGAGTGCACTCAGCAGGCCGGCGCCCAGTCACCCTCGTGCCATCGCACGGAGGGGTGCACAAACAATCGTCGTCGCGGACCATCGGTGCCTCTAGCAGAAAAGAAAAAGAAGAAGAAATGGGGGCGTGTCAGCAGCACAGCCAGCAGAGGGACTATAAAATGGACACGGGGACACACAGTAACAGTGGGCACGGCAGAGACGGAAAAGAGACTGTAGTGATTTACCGAAACAAAAGAAAACAAAAAAGTTTAAAAAGCAAAAAAAGAAGCAAAAAACAAAAACATTTGATTCGGCAGATATGTCATTTCATGTGCCACGCAGCACAATACAACCGTGTTCTTGAGTTCATACATACTGCCCGCACACACACAAATAAAAAAGGAATTGTACTCTCCCACCAGCCCACACAACATCCCTCACATTCCATGCGGCATCCGGCCTGCTCCTCCACTCCTCCTTTCGTGCAGTCCGTGGGACGCACAGCAATGAGACCGGCACCGCGTGTGGACAAAAAAAAGCAAACAAAAGAGGGAGAAGCACGTCACTCGTGACGGTGTTTAGCAAGCGACCATTTGGGGGAAAACACACAAATAGGGGTGCTGATTGTTTCAACAGAGCACCAACAAAAAAAAAAAAAAAACTATAAAAAAGAAAAGAAAAAAAACATAAAAAAAAAGAAGAAAAGAAAAAAGAGAAAGTATCCTTGACAAAGTTGAGTGAGTGATGCTGGGAGCTGCACAGTTGTTGTTCCACAGAATTTTGCAATTTTTCTCCCCAAATTTATTCAACAAAGAGCCGCAGTGCCCCACAGCCCCAGAAGCAGCAGCAACAACACGCGAGACACACACCCATGCACGGTGCTGTCACCAATTAGATACATGGCCGCCAACTCGCCCAAATGCCCGTTCTCAAGCAAAATGCCATGGTCCGAGAGCGATGTTGCGTTGGACTCCGATGGGATCTTGTTTTTCCCAGGCGTTGTGCTTGTATTACCCGGTGCGGTGCCAACGTCCTCACTGTCTCCATTTTCAACCAAAGACGCAGTGGTTTCTTGCGTCTGCCGCTCAGTGGTCCCTTCCGGAGAGGTCGCTTCTTCTTCGTAGATCGGTCGCTCCACGTCGGCCTTCGGAATGTCTTCAGTCCCAAGAGGTGGTGGCACTTCTTCCTGCAGAGAGGTGCCTTCACGGACACTCATCCCGTCGTCGCCCGAATGAGCAGAGGTGCCCACACTCGATGAGGCCGGTGGAGACGCCGATCCACTGCTGCCATCCGTCTCCGTTTCCTCCTCCCTTGTTCCGTGCGAGCCATGGCCCCCAGAAGAGACTGCGGCAGCATCACTGGCTTCAGGTGCTTCCACGGAGGATTGTGGCCGTGGATGCGCCTCCTCAACTTCCTGCTCTGCATCCTCCTCTTCAGGTGATGATGGTGTTTCCTCCTCTTCCTCAGTGAGGAACTCCTCACCAGGGCTTGGAATACGGACTGTGCTGGTACTGAGTATCGATGCAGAGGGAGCCTCAGGCGCCAAAACATTGTTAGGGCTTGTATTTTGTCTCTCAGTATCCCCGTTACCCAACGCTGCATGGCTGCCGAGGTGTTCTTCGTTTCTCTTGACTGGAGTAGCCTCAAATTCGCCGGTGGGCCTCGGCGGAATCTCCGGCACTGAGCGTGACTCCTCACCAGGGTTTGGAATACGGACTTTGCTGGCTCTGAGTTTCGCAATTTCACGTCCATAGATTATGCGGTTGTACAGCGGGACGTTGTTCACCGTCAAGTGGCTGCTTTCCGAACCCTCCTTATTGTCCGCGCCAAAATAGATGTGCGAGACCCTGTGATCTTTAAACAGATTCCAGTTGTAGTACCCAGAAAAAACCTGCATTCTATCAACGTACACATCCCACTCACTGGCATCCATTTGCAGCATTACTTGATATGTTTTGTTTGGTTGCCAATTATACTTACCTTCGTAATATTCATAATGTTCATAATCCTCGTAATCTTCATAATCTTCGGCAACTTCATCATCTTCATAATCTTCATCATCGTCGGCACCTTCATAAGTTCCATTGGGAAGTGTGAACCTCCACTTTTTTTCGTGGGTGTACGACAGACCAAAGAGCGCCGTGCTGCTGGTGTCTTTCACGATCACACCCATCAAGGGGATGGGACTGCTGCCTTCTTTCGGCACCTCGTGGACGGACACCGTCGCCACAAGAGTAAACTTGTTGTTAGCAAAGTAGTACGGCACATTCTGCCCCATGTCGCCAACAGGCCACACCGCCCCTGCTCCGGGTCCTTTGAACGTCAATCCATTGGCAACCCTTGGCTCCCCATTATTCACAGTCGCATTCACGCAGAGGTACTCGTCCTTCCATTTGTTATCAGAGAAGTTACCGGACAAGAAGCCAACAAGCCCATCAGTGGGAACAGGACCAGCGCACATACCCTTCTTTCTCGGGTCGACAGTGGCATTGGAACCGGAACGACATGATTGCAAGGTGCTGTTCAAAGCCGCCCATGTCTTCACCACGGATTTGATCCGCTCCAGCTGCTCCCTCAGGCTCACGGCGACAAGACTGTATGACCGTCATCACCCTTCCTGTTTTCGTACACTGAGATCAACTTTTCATTCCCACTCTTCATCAACAGCGAGCTGGCGGCGGCGTCATCATCTTCACGGGATATCGGCCCAACATCATGCACGCGTGAATTGTCCGTCACCCAAAGGTGGAGCCGACCCTTTTGTTTATTGCTTTCCCTGTTGTCCTTGGAATAAACTGGCAGGGTGACGAGCATCACATCCTTCTTCTCAATCGTCACTTTGATGAAGCCATTCTGGACGCCGTGCCCCTTTCGATCAAGTGAGTTGCCCCACACGCGAGTAAGTGTCTCACCATATGGAAACCAATTCCTCCCACTCTCAGTGGATCCGTACACGTCACGGTAACCTCGCTCACAAGAAGCCATCATGAGGAATCTGTCATCCCCCCACTCGACGATGGTCGGGTCCCTGCAGCCATCAACATCCGTTTCGTGCGAAAGCTTCCACTTCTTCTCTGACTTATCAAAGCGCATGGACAGCAATGAAGTCTTTCCGTCCTCATCTGTGGCCTGCATGGGAAACATGAGCGTACCGTCCTTTGTCTTAATCCCCGATCCGCCGCCAGAAACCAACTGGGTCAAAAATTTAGCAACATATTCATCATTTCCAAACGTCACCGCATGAGTCTCATTCCACGTGATTTCATTGCCACCACTGACGCTTCCCTTTACCAGCAAAAGCCCCCAGTCACGTGCTTTAGCCGATTTACCCACCGACGGTGTAACGCTCTGATTTCTCAGAAGCATGTAGACACTGTCGCCAGAAACAACTGTCGTTGGCCGCATTGTGTCTTTTGCCTCGACGTTACCCGTCGCAACACCCTCTGGAAACTGCACCACCAAACTTGTGTCCTCCGTCAATATCTCCTTTGGCTTATCATCAGTTAGATCGAGGTGCCTTGACGCAATCCCAGCACGGCTGCAGCTTTCTCCTTTCCCCTTGCACAGCGCTTCAGCAACGAAGAACACGTCATTGTTCACCTCAACAAGGCTGGGAACGCGGAGCGAGAATAATTTTTCATTAGCTTTTGTAGGGGCTTCCCATTGAGAGGATTTCCATCCGATCCCTATGAATGGATCAACGTCAGTCCCTGCCTGCACAGCGTGC